CTTCTTTCTTTTTCTTTTCTCTCTCTACTTCTGAAAAAGCAGCCTTCTACAACCTTCATTTATAATTAGAAACCTTACAGTAGCAGTGAAGCATCAGAGCATAAATCAAACCATGAGTTTGCACAGTATTTCTCAGTGTATAATATTTTTCAATAATCACAGTAAAAGGAAAGTACAAAGTTCAATGATTAACCTTTTCTTAATATAGCCAAGCAATGTCTTCACTGTTTTCTTTATAGCCTTGTGGTTTCTATTTTACCATAGAAGTGTAAGACAGCCTGTCTCCATTTGCCTTTTAATTCTTTGAATTTAATATTTACAGGTAGACGTGTATATTTGAGAAAATTATTTTTCTCATGGGAATGGGAATAACCAACTCTTTTTATTTATTGTCTAACCAATATTCCAATTTATCTTTTTCCTCTCCCTTCTGCCATTTCTTCCTGAGCGTTCTGTATTCTTTGAGTCATATGATTATTTTCTCTATTTCAATATCCTTTATTATTTTCTTGCCATTTATCTTTAAGGGCTTTTTGAATCACTTTTAGTCTTTGTAAAAGAACAGGCAATTTTTCTTCAGAGGTCATGCACCACCAGCTTTTTACTGACTTAGCTAATCTTTCTATCTAAGAGGGAGCTTCCCTAAGCCAAATAGTTTTTTCTTATACCAAACTTTAGTCTCAATCGTTTCTCACTTAGGGTTAAAGTCATAAACTCCTGTAAAAGGCAGCAGGGCATCTATTGCATGCTATCTTTTCCTGTTGGGGGAAACCAAGCCTCATTATTAATCACAAATGCAGGTCCAAATGAGTTCATAGTCATAGGAGGAAGTCGTCTATCTTATTACTTTCATTTTGTTTCAGTAACATAATAATTCTGCTAAAGGCAGATGTTTACCTGGTTTAGTTTCCCATTCCATCATCAGAGTTGGTTATCAGAATACTTAAAGAAGAGAAGGTTATACAAATTACAAAACCAGGAGTAGCTGGGGAAGGGATATCCACCAAAAGAGCAGTGGTCATTGGCTTTCAGCTAGAGCTTTGTCAAACAGCACTCTTGCCAAGAACCACAGAACTCTTGGAGCCAGCACTTGCTCTTAGTTTTGTGACCTTGTGTACTTTTGAAATAAAACAAAGAAAGCAGTTCTAAAAAAAAAAATTAAAAATGAACCTACCATATGACCTGGTTATACCACTTCTTGGCATATACCCAAAGGACTCATCCTATTATAGAGACACTTGTACAACCATGTTTGTTGCTGCTCTTTTCACAATAGCTAAGAGATGGAAACAACCTGAGTGTCCCTCAACTGATGAGTGGTTAACAAAAATGTGGTATATTTACACAATGGAGTGCTATTCAGTAGTAAAGAAAGATTAAATAATGAAATTTTCAGGTATATGGATGGATCTAGAAACTGTTATACTAAGTGAAGTAACACAGACTTAGAAAAACAAATGACATATGTTCTCCCTCCTCTGTGGCTCCTAGCACCAAATCCTTTTAAATTCCAGGTCTTTTTAATAAGATGATGCTATACAGCAGTCCCTTTTGCTTGAAATAACTACCATCATCATGACTTCTGCTGAGCCTGATTGCTAAACACAGTCACAATTAGGCTTGTTGACGGTTGTGCCAAGCAGGGTCACCGGACCCTCACCTGAGTACCCAGCCACTCTTCCCAGCCAACTGGTCCAGCCTTGGAAGATGAAAGAAAAATGAGGAAGAACCCAATAGAGGGATGCTTTTCAAAGTCCTTGCAAAGAAACTCTAATGGA